AATTGTTTCAATTATTTCAATTATTTCAATTATTTAAGGCTGGATCCTTGTCTTTAATACTTTAATTGAATTAATAATAATTATTTTAGTTATTTGAATTATTTTAATTATTTTAAATATTTTTATATAAACTAGAAAAATCCTAGCGTCAAATAGACCCTAAAGGAGCCTCTCTCTCTCTCATATATATATATATATATATCACAAGAAGAAGAACGGCCCCCAGCAAGAAGCCAAAGAGCTGACCCGAAAAAGGCCTGCTTGGACCTCCTGCAGAGCCTCGCCGCATTCTCGGCCCTAGAGGGGCCCTTGAGCTGGCCTTCGGCCAAGCCCTTCGGTCAACCGGTGCCGGCGCTGGCACCCGTGGCCGTCCGTGAGATCGTGGAAATGCTTGGCCGCAGGGTGAAGGAGATTTGGTTTTGGTGCAGATTGTCTGAGAAAACGGACTACACGATATTATACTAGACCTGTATTGTCTCATATGTTGGGGGTTCCAGGGATGCAGCTCAGAAGGGGCTTCGCTTCTTTTCGACTCGTGCATGATTCGGGGTTCAGGGCTCAGGGCTTTATTTGCAAAAGATGTCCATGTGCACAACCTTTCTTGTCGAGGAGCTGGAACCGCCACAGCTGCACAGCGCGATCCTGGCGATGGGAAAGCTGCGGGTGCAGGACTGCAGAGGGCTCAATATCGGGACCTGAATAGATAGAATAGGATTTGGGGAATGTTCGGGTATATCATGCGCCTGAGGCCCTACGTCACGCGCTTTCAGGAAGGATGGGGCTTCGTAGGTCTCTAACGTGGGTCAGCTCCCAGATCGTATAGCGACATGGCGTAGTTCTTGGAGGACCTTGTGGTTTTGGAGGCCTTCCAGAAAGAGATCCTGGCGGACCTGAGCCGCATGCACACAAACTCCCTGCCTCCAGTCCTTGAGTCCTTCGCCCTGTGCTACGAGCAGCTCCGGTCAAGCGGCCAAGACTCAGAAGAGAGCTCTGTGCATGAGGAGCGCGAGCTCTTTCTGGTGCAGCTTACCAGTCGCATGGCCAGGGAGCTGCGGCTTCTTCGGCCCCAGGATGCCAGCCGTGTGCTTTCTGCCATCGGACGCCTGGGACTCGTCGATCCGAAGTTGCTTTCGACGGCCGCAGCCCTGGTGCCACCCCGCCTCGCAGCCTGCTCCGCGCCGGAAGTTCTGGCGCTGCTGGAGGCCTACGCAGCGGCCGGGAACAAGGACAGCTTCATGCTCCCCTGCCTTCGCAAGGCGCTGGTGCCCTTGCCGCACGCCTTAGAGGATCGGTTTCAGGAGTTGGACGATGCACAAATCGTGCAAGCGGCCAGCGCCTTCGCCTTGCTCGGTCACGCGCCGGGCCTCGTCGCGCTGCTCGCCGTCCTCCGGGAGCCGTTTCAGCGGCGCAGCGCGGGGCACGGGGCTCGACGACGGGGTGCCACCACAGCAGACTCCGGAATCGAACAGACAGCACGGCATTTGGCCCCTGCTTGTCAGCTGGCCTTGGCAACATTGGTGTCCCTGCACCTCTCGGATTCTCAGACCTGGGCCGCTGCGGCTTCTGCAGTCATGCAAGGAGCTGCCAAAGAGGCATCGAAGCATCAAGACGATGCTTCCGACTCCCTCCTGGCGAAGCTGAAGCAGTCCCTCAAAGCCGCCGAGGATGTTTGGAGGTCTGCAGGACAGCTGTCCCTCTACTCCGGAGATGAGCTGGTCCTGGCCTGCCTGGGCTTCCCGAGGCACTCGGGTCGGGGTTTCTGGTATGAGGAGGTCTCCGGCTCCAAGATGGCGGAGGTGAGCCTCTCACTCCTCCCCGGCTTCCTAAGCCATACCGCCGAGGCCGAGTTCGGAGAGACCCGAAGGACACCGCTCCCATCTCTCCACAGCCTCCGGCCATCGAGCCCTTTGAAGGAGAGCTCGGAGCTCTCCAAAGCCATCAGCCGAGCCCAGGAGGTGCTCTTGGAAAGATTGGCGGAGCAGAGGGGCCAGGAAGAGCTCCAGGAGCTGCCTCCCATGGTCATCGTGGCCCTCTTCCGAGCCTTGGAGCTCATGAACTCGGGGCCCTTCGGCCTTCAGCCGGAGGCGCAGGACTTGCAGGTGCCGTGGGGGCAAAGTTTCTACCTGTTCATGGGAGATAGTAATCAAGAAAATCGGGTATTGTAATGTTACAATGAGGGGAAGTAGTACTATAAGGGGTGTTGCCAGATTCCGGCACGATATCATGGCCAGGGCAGTGTAAAGACGAGGCAAAGGCCCGCGGCTGGGCTATGCAAACCCGGTTTCTTCGGTTGGACTATGCGGGATTCAGCTATCTTGGAGTCCTGGAGTGAAGGCAGCATCGTCAGCAGCCAAGATACATATAAAGTGGAAGCCAGAAAGTTGGAACATCATTCTCCTGGAACCCTTAAGGTAAAATATGAGGGATCCTAGCACTAATCATCCTAAATCCATGTTCCAACTTTGTGGGGTTCGCGAGATATAGCTAACGATCTAACCCACACGATTATTCATGCTCATGAACCGAATCATTCCATGATCAGTTGAAGCTTGAGTATGGCTAACAAGTAATGCCGTTCGTGAGGGTTCCTTATCACAATACGGTCTATAATAGACCCAAACCCTCTTCTGTTGATCAAGAGCCCCATATTATTCTGAAGGTCCTCCACCGAGCGACCGTTCCGCTGCTGCAGCGCCTGGCTATGCTGGCGCAAGAGCAGCAGCTCAGCGCTAAGGCTGTCAGGGAATAAGAACGGGAGCAACAGCAATAACATGCAATAAACGTGGGAATAGTACGAACAGCAAGACTAGCCATCCTAGTAACAGCAACAATAATACCAATAACCCCAAGCCCTCTGCACCGGTCCGTATTGGGAGAAGGGTCAAGGAAAATTGGATTTCAGACGGTCGAAGAGGGACAACTCAGAATGGGGTTTGGCGTCTCGTGGCTGTTGAAGATATTCGTGTTTCGAGTTTGCACACTCGCTGTGTTGGGATAGGGAACTGCGCCACCGATGGTCAGGGCGTGTGAGCTTATGTTTCGAGTTGAGTGCTTTTGGGACATGTTCCAACATCATTCGGACAAGCTCACTTCTGACAAGATGTGGAGTTCTTGACTGTCCCTGGTAGTGAAAACCAGCACCAATGCCGACGAACCGCCGAAAGGTGTCAGGAAGTAGCTGCTGTACTTTGCCTTGATAATTACATGGGGGTTTCTGAAAATAGGGGACCCTAATATAGTACCCTAAATAGTAGGATCCTTATTATAAGGACCCCCAAAGAAGGTACCCCTAATTGTCGGAAACTCCCACATGTCATCCCTTAGACTGGGAGTCTGTGGGGGTAAGCAGTGCAAGATAGGGCGATCGTGTAAAAGCAGTCTTCCGTCCGGTTGCTGTGAATACCAAGATTTAAGGAGGTGTTTTCCAGCAGCACTAAGATGTTATGTTACAAAAAATGTATTAGAAGGCTGCAGGGAATGTTGCCCAGACGTGGTTTTTCCCTGCAATTCTAGAGGCAGAGTGGCTTGTAGATGCTGTGACCCAGAGAACATCCTACGGCCAAACGATGGAATTGGCATTCCAATCCTGTACTGCCTTCAATGGCGTGTCTCATCACTTCCACAAAATTGCCTAAACAGGAGTAGCTTGGGATTCGGGGATGGGCGTTTGAGGCTTTGCAATGCCCAAGCATGTCTTCGATACGCCGCTACACTCAAGTGGTGAGACTACATGTCATGTTCGGAAAAGGCCCTACACCTTAAACCCAATGACTCGGTTTGCTGAGACCATGTCGTGTCCAGCTCGCTGCTTTTCACTGTCAGGTATGTGCCTGGGGTACCAGTATCCTCCCAGAAGCACTCGGAAGGGGTTTAGAGGTTTAGGGTTCAGGGCAAAAGAGGATCCGTAACTTGAGACTCCCCCAAAGGAGGGGTCATGAGTCTGGTGCATAGACCCGAGACCCCGATGTGTCCGTGGAAGGCCTGCGTGCGGATTCTCCAGAGTATGAAGGCGCCAACCGAAACTCCCATGGCTCAGGAAGTTGCAGGGGCTTAGGGTTTAGGGCTTTTGGGTTTAGGGTTTAGGATTTAGGGCTTTAGGGTTTAGGGTTTAGGGTTTAGGCCAGTAGACTGTTTCCCTCCGCGAGGTCGCGAGGTATCGACATCTCCAACACTACGGGGCAACATGAACGGTTGAACGGATTCGAGTGAGAGTGAGACGAACCGAGCAGCACTCGCAGGATATTTCTCAGGGTTTGGGGTCCTGAAGTCGCCATCGAATGTCGGCTCTTGCAAGATGCCGAGCCCTCAGACAGAAATTGTAAAGTCCACGCCCCAAGCAAGCCCACTGCAAAGTGCTTGCGCTCCGCTCGTTTCCCCCCGATATGGTCGGCATTCTTCGCAGTAGAATCCCCAAACCCCTAAGGCTTAATACCTAAACCATAAAGCCCCTAAATCCCTAAACGCTTGAACCTAAACTCTGAACCTTGTAATTAACCAGTAACTTTTCCAGGCGTTGTCAGGATTTCCAAGAGGCCTCACCACGGATTGCCGACAGTATGGCTCGAGCAGCTACTTCAAGGGTCATGGGACTTAGAGTTTGGGGGTTTAGGGTTCGTTGGATTTAGTCTTCCTAAACCCTAAACCATATAAAGTTAGAGTAAGGTAACATAGCTATGTCACGAAGGTGCTCAGAGCTTTACTTGCTGACTAAGTCCATGATGTTTTTAAGTAGGAAGGAGACAACTACAGACCTATCTCAGACTGAAGGGGTCAGAGTAAGGCAGGTTTGGGATTTTGTGGTGTAGGGCTCAGGGAAAGTATCCAGAAGGAGCAGTACTAAGAAGAGACGTCAACGGAATCACAATGCTACAGCCTACAAGCACTACGACTAGAGGATTCGCAATCACTGTCACCATATCTACTGGCACTCCCACGACACCACCACAAGATCCCAAGACTCACCCACGTCCATGAACAAACCCATCCCGCACACTCTCTCTCTCTTGCGCCCTTTTTCTGATGCTTTTCATGCTCGTTGAATAAAAGAGTATAAGCGGATACATACATCCACAGATCGACAGCTGGAGTACCCCCAAACGAGCAAGAGAGCTAGAACAAGATCCAAACTCACAGCCATCTCCACCTGAGCCCTAAGCCCCAGCCGCGGAGCCCATGTCTGTGCGGAAGACAAAATCTGTTGGTTCTGGTCTCGGGGCGACTTGGCACGAAAGAGAGGGACAACTAGCTTCAGGGTTTCAGAGTCTGGGGTTCAGCTTTTTTTTCCTGGGCCCCAGTCAGGGGGTTTTCGGCTTACTGCTTTCGCGGTCTCAAGTTTTAGGGTTTAGAGCTTTATGGATTGCGTAGGGCTTCAGGACGGGTTGAGACTCCATGCCCCCTTTCCACCGAAGCTGGAAGCTCCCAGGGCTGGAGCCCTGGAAGGCTTTTGGGTTTGGGTTTAGGGTAAGGGTTTATAGGGTTTAGGGGTCATCTGGGGTGGGATGAATTAACCATCACCGATGCTTCGTCGCCGTAGTAGCAATGAAACTATGGGGGCAGCAGTAGTAGAAGTCGAAGCAGAGACGAATTATTATGGCAACAGGGGAACATGCATGCACAGTAGATGGCAGTGTGGAGTCAAGAACTGTTATGGGAGGGAATCATTTCACAAGTGGAGGAGACTTACTCACTCCATATATCCATTCATCAATCTCTCACTCTTTCTCTCTGTTCTCTCTTTCTCGCTCTTCTGTCCTTTTCCTTCTCTCTTCACTCGCGCGTTTTCTCAAACGCCTCAAACCCATGGAGATTGCAACCATCGGGGTCATCTTGCTGCCGAGGTTCATGGTGGATGCTGGGGAACGGCTCCCCACAAAGACCACCCTCATCTCTTCTGGGCGCAGGCAGAGAAGGGGAGGGTTGGTCTAGTCTGGTATAGGGGCCTTTGTAAGAGAGGCTACTTGGAGGATCATGGGACTTAGTAAGTAAGGTTATAAGTCCCTTAATTGGGGTTACCCTAATTTTGGCCCTACTTGCTAAGTCCCATGATCCTGTAAGTAATCTCCTACAAGAAGCCCAAGAAAGAAGGCTCCTAAGAACCTGACCCCCGATTCGACTCAACTCCGTCATGCCCCCAGGGAAACATGGCTATTTCCTTGCCCAGCGCATTAACCCTAAACCCTAAACCCTAAACCCTAAACCCTAAACCCTAAACCCTAAATGCCCTAGGCCCAAAACCCATAGAACATGGGAAGCTAAGGAGTCAAGAGGTCGTGACAAACATTCGACCCAACGCCTGATCCATGGAGTTTTCCGTTCTGCAGATGACGAACAGGAAAAGATGGCGCTTAAAAAGAACAACCTGGGAGCCAAGTATTTCGCCAGGTATCGGCAGCACTGCTGATTTTGGGCCCGCTCGCGGCCACCATCTGGACACCCTGGCGCCAGGGGTGCGGTATCGGGGGCTCCTGCTCCGTCGGCGTGCAGGTCTGGATGGAGTGGTAGGTAGCTAAGCAGGCAGCCCCTGATCCCTGACATAGAAGGTCTCTGGTTCAAATCTACTTGGAGGATCATGGGACTTAGAAAGTGTAAGGTTATAAGTATTATAAGTCCCTTAATTGCGGTTATAAGTATAGCTATCCTAATTATAGCCCGACTTACTAAGTCCCATGATCCTTTAAGTAGCGGGCGTAGGAGCAGAGGCCGAACGATTATAGTTACACAGGTGTTTCTGCACGACTGGAACATCGTCTTCTTGTGTCAAGTCTTTGTACAGGCCGAAGCCCCGCACCTCTGAGCTACAATTGCCATGAAACCATTAGCTTAGCTTATGGGAACCTGAAACCTTGGATCCTTACCCCTAGCAGCTTTCAATCCGCGCAAAAATTTCAACCCGAGGCCCCCCAGCAGCACCAAAATCCCAAAGCTCCAGATTTCCCGCTTTTATACCGCTCCCTCTCTCTCTGTCTCTTTCTCTCTCTTTCTTTCTCTCTCTGTCTCTCCGACTCTCTCGCTCTCTCCCTTGCGTCTTAGCTCCCGAACCCTGGCAGCTCTCCATGGCAACGGCCGTGCCGTTGAGCATCGTGACCTCGGGCTGCACGTGAATCTGAAAGCTCAGGATTCGACAGGATGCTTTTTTTGAGGAGGGGGGTTCGGCCTGTTTTAAGGTTTTCGGGGTTTCAGGCTTTAAAGGATTTTAGGGTTTTGGGGTCATGGGGGTTTGGGTTTTTTAATTGGGGATTATGGGTTATCGATGAGGTTTTGGGGCTTTTTAGGGTTGAGTTTGGACTCTAGACCAAAGAGTTTAGGGTTGAATGTTTTTTTTTTTTTTGGGGGGGG